CGATCCGGGTCGGCGCAGCCCTCCCACCGGCGGCTTACGACGCCCCCATCGGCGTCAGCCTGGCAGGGACCCTACGGAAGTCAGCCTCCTCGGCCACGTCTACGTCCATTTGCCTCGGAGCGAGGAGAGCGATCGCGGGAGGATCGATCGCGCGAGGACGATCGAACGTGCGTAAACGCGCGCCACGCGTGTGTCCCTCTTGCCCTTTCTTCCGCCGCACCCCCCGACAGAGACCACGTCTCCCGCGCGGATCTTGTTCACCACCGGCGAGTCTCGGCGTTTCGGGGCTTCAGCCGCAGGCGGGTCTCTTAAACGGTCCCGCTCCTCCGCTTCTCGTTATCATCGCGATAATTCGGAGCGCACACGGACGCCGGCCACCTTCGCGCCGCTGTTCGCACGGCGACGTTCGACGACGATATCTGGGATGACATCGAGTCAGGTCGGCCCCGTCGATGTCTCGACTGGTCCGCGCCGGCGGCTTCGACGACAGTGCGAAACATATGACCACCGATCGCCTCCCTGAGTAGTCTCCGGAACTTGCGACCTCCCTCAGAATTGGACGATGAGAAGAGTATCGTCGCCGCACAGATCTCTCGTTTCCTCGCGGATGTGGAAAGCTACTCCGAGAGCACTCCGCCGACGTGGATATTTCACGGGAAAGACCTGGCCGACGGCCCCTCGGGTCACTGGTTCACCGATGTGTGTCCGTCTCCGCGGTGAATCCCACGACGATCGATCGCGCCGTTTTTTCTTTCTTTCCCCGAGCGCTACCAAGAAGCGTTGATACCAAAGTCCCGACGATGAAGTCGACGACGACGACGACCACACGACGTGTCTCGCACACACCCACCGGCCGGCTCCGGATTGCACCGCGAGGGGGGAAGGAGAACTCGCTCGGCCGCGATCAAGTGCGGCGCGGGACCAAGAGACCAACGGTGTCTCGGGGCGAGAAGGGTTTTCGGCCGCGCGGAGGTAGAAAAAGGAGGAAGGCCGAAAAGAGTGACGACGGAGGTCCACCTCGCCGCGCCGGGGAGAAGAGGTTTCCTCTCGCCAGCAGCAGGCTCTACCCCGCCGCGGGTGGGTAGCGCCGCGGCGCCCCAGGATCAATAAAACGACCGCCCGGCCGTCGCCTGTCCTAGGTCCTGCCTGGCCTCTGCCTGCCGTGTACTTGCGCGACGTCGGACGCCCGACGTCCCGACGCGGCGCGCGCGTCCCCGCCGTCGCGTTCTCCGCGTGCGCGCGCCAATCCCCCGGACGCGGCGACGCCGCGACGCCCGCGCTCCGGCGCGATCCTCGGGCGGGCCCGCCGCGCAGGCCCGCTCGCGTGCAGAACTCGCGCCGCGGGTCGATATTCGGACGGCGGCGGTCAGGAGTGTCCACGGGGAAAATCCGCAAAAAGTGCACACACGATCCGCGGAACTCGGCGACTTCGCGAGGAGATTCAGGGACGGACGTAGCCGGTAACTCGCTTTCGAGGGGAAACGCGTATTTTCTTGATGTTGAACGGAGACGAGGGGGAAACTTGCGATTTTTAGTCCACAATTACATTTGCTACTTGAACAAGATATATTCCAAATAGAAACAAGAATGCTAAATCATTACTAACTGCCTAACAGTCAATCAGTGGATTATCACTGAAAACTGAATATTCGCTGATTCACGGTTACAAATATAGCAGTGAATTATTCAGTGCTGTACTTATGACTGTTTTCAGTGATGATGCACTGGTTGACTTTTAGAGAG